AGTAAATACAAATCTAACAATATTATCTGATATAAAAAATTTTCAAAAATTAACAACATTAGTAATTCAATCAGATTATAGTATTATTGGTCAACATTTACCATCGGAATTGGGACAACTAATATCTTTATCATACTTAAAATTATCTTATATTAAAAATCTTGAAGATTTACCTAATGAGATTGAATATTTAATTCAATTAGAAACATTAATATTACAGAGTATTCCAAATTTTAATAAAATACCTGATGAAAGTATTGGTAAATTAATTAATCTTAGAATTTTAAGTTTAATTGATTTACCAAATTTATCAACTATTCCATCAACGATAAAAAATTTTCAATCATTAGTACAATTCGAAATAAGTAACACGAGTATTAAGAATTTAGAATTAGGAAATCTTGATGCATTATCTACTTTAAGAATTAGATCTAACTCAGTATTACAAACAATTGAAATCGCTAATATGTCACTATTATCTTCCGTTGAGATTCAAAATAATGAGGAATTATTAACATTAAAATTTCAAAATTTATCTTCGTTATTTTCATTAACAATGTCATCAAATTCAAAATTAACTTCTTTAGATATGGAAAATATATCATCTTATGTTCAAACAATTTCATTAAGTGATAATAAACAATTCAAAATAGCTACATTCAAAAATGTATCTCAATTAAACAGTGTTTATTTTTCTTTCTTAACTAATTTGGAATCAGTTTCATTTGAAAATACACTATCCTTATCAACTGTTACTATTACAGCAAGTGCTCTATCGAAAAATCTTTCATTTTTTAATGTGCCATCAATTAAAACTCTTGATTTGTCTGGATGTCAATTAACAATCTTTCCAGAAAGTATTTTAACATTAAAATCTTTAGTCAAGTTGGTTATGAAAGCAAATCAATTATCAACATTACCATTAACATTATCAACTGATTTACCGAATTTACAAGTTCTTGATTTATCGAGAAATAACTTTCAAGGCAATATTTTTCAACAACCATCACTTATTTATCTTCGTGAACTTTATTTAAGTAATAATTCTTTGGTATCTATCGATGGTATTGGAGAATATCCATCTTTAAAAAGTTTAGATTTAAGTTATAATAAAATTTTATCAATTCCACTTGAGATCATGGAATTATCATCGACATTAGGTTCGTTAAATATTAATTATAATCAGTTGCGTAGTATACCATATTCAATGACAAATATGAGACAATTAACCTCACTTTTGGCCACTTTTAACAATATTTCGTATGACGAACGACAATATCTTTATCAAATATTCCACCCAACATCTATACAATTGATTATTTAATTTAACATAATACTTTATCATAAGTTGATTCGTATTGATTTAATAATGATAAAAACACCTCTAATAAAAAGAAAGTTTTCATTTGATATAAAGATTTTTTTACACACTGCAAACTACCCATCATATCAAAGAAAATAAGAGCTGAATGTGAGTGACGATCAGAAGAAAAATAGGCACACCAAGATTGACATACGTGAAAGTTAAAAATCTAGATTGGCAATGTAAAAAATCCAGAAGAATAGTCAAGAATCAGCTGTAACTGAATAAACTACGTTTCTTTCAACTAGATTACGAATAGTTTTTCAAACTTGTAAAATGCACATTTCGATATCAATGTACGCGTTGTTTCCTTTCAATATTTTTCATATGAATAGACAAAATTCAATAGTTCTAGTTCTGATAAGAAATAATCATAAGCTTCTATAAAAGACACAGATGAGTTCAAAGAAATTTTTCATTCAATAGGAATGAATTCTATTGACATACAATTTTATTGATCATCGTTTAGTTGTTTCATGCTGGAATAAGAGCATATAGAAAAAAATATGTGCAAGAATGAAAGAAAAATAATTATTCTTTGTGAACGAACAAAAAAGATGAAAGCCACAATCTCTTTCGAATCATAAAATATTATTGAATATATTAAAAACTAGTGACAGAGAAAATACCTGTAACGGAAAAAAATCCGGATTTTTTTCTAAAAAAACTAAATGATTTAGCAATCCTGACTCATGTCCGACATGCACATCCGCTGACACCTTTTTTGATTTCTTTTGAGACTCCAATTCACTAGATGAGATTTCCAAATAGGGATGTGGATGTACGATTTGACTGTGACTATTTCCTTTGCTGATATCACGTCCACACACTCACCACGCCCTCGAAAGATTTCTATCAGGTTGTTTTAAAAATATTGATAGTTACAGGAATAGTAGTGACGAATTCGATATGATGAAGGAACATGTGTCTCTTTCTTTTTGAAAATTTTCTCCAGCAAAACTAATAGAAAATGGCTGGATGTCAACTTGCATCGGCCTTACAAAGTTTTCCTTACATCCTCTGATGCCGACTCCGTTCTTTACCATCTTAATCATATCATAAATTCACCACTGATCTATGAAAATAGTTCAACGAGCAGAAAAACATTGAAACAGTGTATTCTAACAACTTGTCACTTTCATACTATTGAAAGAATTCGTGTTTTGGTTTTATATTTCTCTCTTCCATTTATTTTTGAACATTTTTCTTTTGATATTATTAATTTGAAATTTTGTTTTTCATGTTGCTGCACTATATTCATTGAATCACTAGAGTAGATGTATACTGAATGAAAACACTGATAATACATCGAGTACATGAATACGAGACAAATCGTTTGAAAAATATCCTATACTATTTTGATTCTTTTCTTTTATCGAATGACGTTCATCTTCTAATCGAAAAACATGAGTTGTAAAAGAAAAAATGAACAGCATAGTTTTTTTCGTGGCAACCCTAGAAGATAGCGCCAATAAGCTTGCTAAAAGATCAAAAGCTGCTGTCTTAAAATAAGAGACTGAAAAATATTTGTCCATATTCAACAAAAGACATAAAACTTTAATATTATTAGTATAAACAAGGTTCAGAGGACATTCTTGAAAATGAAGTTATCCTTAATCAATCAATGTCCGAAAAATATTTTGTCGGCATTGACAAAGCCGACACGTAGTTTATATATGAGTTACATTTCTGATCGTTTAGGCGACAGAACAAAAATTAATAAGAATCTTATTGTTTTTTGTGTAATAATTGGTATAGCTTTGCATCTATCTATTTTATTTTTTTTTCAGATAGAAAGAGCTTCTTATTGACAAGAGAAAAATGACTCTTGATGAATTCTAAGGTCTATCGAGAGACTTCAAAATTCACTTGTACTCCATTGCTTATTTTTAGGTAAGTCAAAAAAAAACATCAAGTCATGAGTTTTTGCTCCTGTTATTATATTTTATTCAGTTAAATCCGATCATTATCATTGAAATGGAGCAGATGTTATCAAAATCAAAAACTCGTATTTTTCGACAACTTCAATTATAATTATGCTTGATAGATCAAGTGAAAAAATAACTAAATTGACATATATTCTTGTTATTCGCAAGGTACTAATCAACGCAATATCATTTATTGCAGAAAATAGTTCATAAAACAAGAGTATCATAAATCCATTTAAAAGAAGTTTTTTTTGGTAATTAAATATCACCAATTCACAAATCGAATGAACTGTTCGTTTACAATATATAATAAACATAATTAATAGTAGTTAGCACAAGTTTTGATAAGAAAAGCATGTTTATGATATACTATAAATAAATGTTTTGGAAGAACTATCGTTAAAAATTTCAGCATTAAATATTTCACTAGAATATTATGAGTTAGATTAATTTCTTCTTTCTCATTATATTTCAATTGACTAATGATCTATAATCCTACATTGTATATTTACAGGTCAACTAAATTCAATTCAGGATAATGACTTAATTTTAATTTAACACATTTTTCTATTGGAAGAGAACAGATGAGCACTTTGTTTTTATTTTTTTTTTCTAAAGAGGCAACACAAAATGCAAAAATAATAGTCAATACATTATTTTCAAGAAAACAAGTTATTTCATTTATACTTTCAACGGGATACTCAAGTTAAATAGTAATTTTCTAATAAATAGCCCATCATTTTGGCATTTAACTTTGTTACACACTTGATACATAAAAGATTATTCTTATGCAAATAAAAGAAAAGAAATTTTAGAAGACTTCCTTTTCTCTGAGGGTGTGGAAAAGTATCTTCAAAGACAAAGAAGATGGTATTGGGTGCTTAGTTGAAGTTGAGATTACTGTGCGTGAAATGTGAATGTGATGAGGGCGATTTATGGGGGTGAGAGCTATTATTGATCAATAGAAGAGAGTGAAATTCACCTATATCATCATTCTCATGTATAGAAAACAATTTCTTTACAAGTTAATTTGATTTTTGACAAAAGAAGTATTGTGGATCTCATTAGCGGATTTCTCTATATTAGAGATTTCAATTGATTTTCTTGATGAAAATTCAATGGAAATTGACTTACTAATAAAATTTTCTTGAAGAAAAATGATTCTTCAGTAAAATAATTAATTGAAGTAACTTCAATTTCTACAAGCGTGTTGCTTGATGTGCATAATACTAACGACCTTTTAATCAAATAATTCTTATCCATGTTACAACACTCTTCGATCAAATGATTATTAAATCGATGTCTTCTCATACATCGGTATTATGTCGAATGCTTTCTTTTATTCTACTAGATAAATAGACTTTGCAAAGCATGAACATATAATATTAAGGCTTGCATCAACTTTGCGCATTAACATGAAGTATTGTAAAGATATTGTTAATACGATATTTTATATGATATGTTTTGAATGACTTGTCTTATACAATAGAATTCGATGCATCCTTATTGATATTATTCGACAACAGTATTAAAACTAGATGGCTTTGATTATTAATTTTAAACTTCTAAAGTATAAGAATATTAAGAAGAATTCTTTTCTTTATAAATCAATAAAAAAAAAAACAGCATTTCGAAGTAATTTTCATAAAATTAGAGATATTGTTAACAGTCCAATGATCAATAATCATATCCATTTATGAAAGACGAGATTAAGAAATATTAGATTTTCTTGGAAGCTTTCTCACGGTTACTCTATTGTCTTTATGCATTTTGATATTTGTAGCAATTGAAGCAGTCTTTGAATGATTTGTCAGTGGTTGCATTACGACAAAAGGCTTTCCTATATGAATAGTGCTAATATTATCAGCACTTAATGCTCGAGCTCGTTGACTTAAAGTTGTTTGTTTTCGTTGTATTTTGGTGACCTTCACTTGATTCAATTTAGATAATTTGGATGATGATGCACTTGAAGTGTTTTGTTGAGATGTGATTGAAATATTCTGGTTTGATAAATTCAATTTTGGTACTCGAACAACTGTAACTGGTGAACGTCCAATGATTTGACTATCATCAGTATTATCAATATGATTTGGTAATTTACTATTGGTTTTTGCATTTTCATTCAGCTTTTCCATGTCATGTAGTTGTTGAATGGTTGCACGACTGATTCTTTTGATAGTAACTGCTGATGAAACTCCACTTTCTTCTACATCTGTCATAGTTGTTACTTCATCAGAATAAGCTGAATCAAACAAATTTATGCGCGAGTCTTCTGAAAAGATATGATCCGTGCTATTCTGATGATCCACTGTATTATTAATCAGATAATCCTTGGTTGGTGTATTTGATTTGAATATTTTGCTAGAAGCTGTCTGTCTTTCTAATTCAAAAGTTGTAAGTCTTGAATTAAAAGTCCGTGCACAGGTATTTCCTTCTTTTAATTGGCGTCGTCGACGACGTGAACGAGCACCCCTATTAGAAAACATCAATGCTCAATTGATTTCATTATCAATAAATTATGTTAATTTTCTCAGAATTGCATACAGCTAAAAATAACTTGCTATTTTTTATTCATGTAATAAGTAAAAAGTTGCATTCCAATTTTTTTTAGTATATATAATCAGCAAGTTTAGATATATCATAGCACAAATCAAAATGAAAATACTTACCATAAAAGCCAATACAAACAGCAACAACAGCATAGAACTAATAATAAACCTAATAACGATAAGCCCAAAATCAGTAACCAACTTATAGATGATCCTATATAAAAGAGGAATATTATATTTGAATCAATTGTATTAAATTAATATCAAGAATATTAGAATCAACATGAAAATCTATGAAAATCTTGAGATTTTTCAAACTAAAAGCATATCGGTATTATATGATTTCAAACACTTTATTTCAGTATTAAATGATTTTCCGCTGAGCTTTTCATATCGGCCAAAAAACTTAACGTTTGAGGATGTTTTGCAAATATTTCTCAGATTCTGACTGACGAGCTGATTCTTATTATTTAAAGCCTTTTTTCCCATGAAATTTTCACCAACACAAAGTTAATCAATTCTACTCGTGCAAGATTACATTCAAGACACTAAACACTGAAGTTGTTACATGTATTAGCATGTGAGAGATGAAACTTTATCATCGACCATCTGCGTTTAGGTTATATATTGTTACTTGATAGACTAAAAAATGCCAAACGATGTCTTATTCTATATGTTACAATGTTGCTATCATTATATATATGCATCATCTACGTAGTATGCTATGAAAAATGTCGATAATTCTGAGTAAACAGTGTGGTTTGAACACTTCTTTATTGTTTATCGCTGTGATTTATTCTGTGTTTGATTTCTCAGAGTAAAATTTGAGAAAGAAGAAGTAGATCGATATTCGTATACTCAGATCATAACAGCCAGTAACCCTTAAACTACAGGTGTTTTAAATAATGTTTTCTCAGAATGATTGTTGTCTATCATAGCATAATACGTAGATAATGCATATATCTAATTTTTGTCTAGTTAAAGATTATATAGGGAAGAACTCTTTATACCATAAGAATCAGCTCGTCGGGCTCTATCAACTAGGATAAATCTCTATGAAATCTGCGATTAACAGTTCGGATAGTTCCCTCGTGATAAAAATCGATTATGACTATAATTTAAAAAAAGAAAGTTAATAAATCTTGCCTGGAGGTTTGGTTGTTGTTGTGGCTGTAGTGCTAAAAAGAAATCAAAACAATTAGAAACATGGTTTCGTTAGTATAGTATGACTTGAATAAACTCTAACAAATGTACATATGTTGTCGGTGCACTTGAAAACATGGGTTATTATATCCTCTTCTTGTAAGTTCTTAAATAGAAACCAACAGTGAACATTGAGTATTATTCGAAAAATTTTTTCTTGAACAATTCTGAAACTTGACAGACATTCTTATCATGTGATTATGAGACAACAAAAAAGTAACAAAGAAACAGTGATGTTATTATTGTGGTTGTTTCTTTTGATTGAAGGACTCAATTCGGAACGTCACAAACTGCTAACTTTTTCTTGGTATTTATAATATCAAATTTTTTTGGTGGAGATTAGTGTTTGTGATATAAAAGTTACAAATCATCTATTTCAGTAAAAATAATGGTGCAGCTGATATGGTTAATTATGTATATTTATTAATTTATAAAATGGTCTAACAGGAGCTGTGTACTGTTCTCATTTGGTCAAATAATATGATGGCCAATATTGAAGAATCAACAATGATTGAACAATAATCTGCTTACCTGAATAGCAACCGCATACCAGATCCCAGCTTTATGACCTGTGAATGTGATGGTGCAATCAGACAGTGTTGTGCCATTGGGCATACTACCTGGGTAACAAATATCAGCACATTCGTCAATAGCCTGACGAATAGGATATGTTGAAGTCGATTTTGGTATCCCTGGAGTTTCGGTAGAAGTTGAACTGTCTGTAGTTGAGCTAGTTGTAGTCACTGTTGTTGTACTTGTCGTACTACTGGAAGTCGTTGTTGTCGTCTTAGTTGTGCTAGTTGTACTAGTTGTAGTCGTTGATGTTGTCGTTATAAAGTCACAACAAGCAATGGTACATTTTATACCCAGGCAGTTCGTCTTTGGACATGAACCTGTATTACAATTGTCACCACTGGTACATCCACTGGAATAAGTCTGTCTTTTCTTTCTGCTATCTATGGTTTCTTTGTCGTCGTCATATTTTGTTTTGTAATTATGAGCAATTTTATGGTAATTTTCATATTTTTCTTCACCTGATCGTTTTCGTCTTCGATATCCAGTTGTATATGTTGACCATCGACAACGTACATCGTCACCTGCATTGGCATCCGAAACAGGAATTTTTATTTGTATTGTTTTATTTACTGTGGCATACTGTGGAGAAACAACCTTGGCAACAGGTGGAGTGTTAATTAAACCATCTGATCGTTTTCGAAGATCAATATATGTTACAATAGACCAATCCAGACCTGATTGAGCAGGATCATTTAATGCTACCCAAGAACTTCCTCTATAAGCTATATAAAAATGTGCATCAGCAGAAAGTGTAACATTTTTCGATTTTTCACTTGTCATCATTTTCAATGATGAACTAGCTGACGTACAATCCGTAAGAATATCAATTGGTGCATTAGAATAACCACCATCAGTCGAACAATCCACTACACAAGTCACATTAGTATTAGCACTACTCCATCCACTAGTTGAGGCTGGTACATTGTTGGCACATTTTATTGTTGGATATGTCCATGAATAAGATTGTGTTATAGTAATATCGACTGGACTGGAATTATCATAAGGATCAATGGGAGCCCATCCAATAGTTCCTCCATTGAAATGTTTTTCATTAGTAAAAACAAAATAAGAAAACACTATCAACAGAGATAGAAGCATTATTGCACGGTCAACGACATCAGTCAATATGAACCTAAAAGACAAATGTGAAAAGTATTGTAATAAAATCTAAAAATATTTTCTATGCCTCGAATGGTTATTAAAAAAAAGGGAAACGTTGAGAGAAACAAGATATATCTAAAAAGAATAGAATACTAGCTCACCATTTCGATTAGCAGACATGAGTCCGAATGGATTTTCTTTCAACTCTTTATTTCTTCAAACATAGATCACGATCGAATTTTTCAGAGAAAAGTAGGAATATAGAAATTCAAACGAATTAAGAGAAATCAATGAACGCGAAAGCTAAATATTCACACAGAAAAATTAGATGCGTCTCGCACAAAAATGTTTCTAGAAAGACATTTCAATCGTAGTAGAAAGTATTTTTGTTTCATCAAAATAGGAGTTATTTTGAAAGCAACAATTTTATTTATTAATATGGTAATGATGAAGCGAATACATGAAAATGAATAATATGATTGATTTGTTGATGAAAGAGCAATATATATTGGTAGCAATCTGTACAAGAATAAATGAAAATATATTGATCGAACTCAATCTTTTTAAATAAAAATTCAATTAAATTGAAAACCTTCTATATTATACTACGTCCGAAATCATCAAATTAATATTTATGGTAGCGCTTTTTTTTTTTTCGTCGTATAATATGATGGAGAAGCTTTATGAAAATATAAATTCATCTATGTTTAAATTTTCATGTATTTGCTCAAGAACAGAATGAAAATGGACTTTGTACAGATAGAAGTAGAAACATATATAGAGGGTTGTTTTGTTAAATGAAATCAATACAAAAATTAACATGAAAAGTCGAAACAAATGTTAGCTATTATCATAAATATTGTTTTTTCACGTTGTATGAAATTATTAGCTGTCATCGCGAAGTATCATTCGCAAACACTTAATTAATAGTTTTCATTGTCTAAAGTCTAACGAGAAATAGGTAACAAAGTTGTTGTTTTTGGTATTATCATTATGCTAGTTTATATATCAAATCATACATGTGCACTTGATACCCAGTTCAATAGTTACAGCATTTTCTTTACAAAAATATAAAATAACAGTTCAAATCCTGTATTCTTCATCAATAACGCGTATCATGCAACAAAGTATCTGTGAATTTATAATTTATCAATGCTCTATCGTATCAATGTCGATGTGAAGCTGGTACGTTGCCTGGCAAGATCAGATGTTTTATTTCAAATACAATATTGATTATGTAGATGATTGAAATAAAGTCGTAACGCTTCTTTTTTGTTTCCTCTTGTAAACAAAAATTTATAATGATCATGTTACATACATTATTATTGGATCAAGAACAAAGAAATGCAACGAGCTTTGGTGCACTACAGTTTTTCTAGCTTAAAGTAAAATAGAATATGAGTGTGGGTATGAATGTGAGTATGAGGGTGTGGATGTTGGTCTTCCCTTCATCCACAACCAGCCCTTTGATAACATACTAAAGTAAATAGAATCTATTGTGATTTTTCAAAGAGAGACCATGGAATTAACAATTATTAAAAGCATCGAACAAAAAATAAATTTTTCATATTCTTTGCTCATTCGAACCATCGACGTGTGAAACTAACAATTTGACAATTTTCGCTTCTGATATCATTTCTTCTAAAAGTTAGTCAATGTGGACTTTTTAAGACTATTAGAAATTTTTGTGAGAAAAAAGTAAAATTTATCCTATACAAGTTATGGCTCTTTGTCATTCATCAAATCATTCATATCTTTTGTGAAACATACCAAAAGATAGACCATCGACAACTAAAAAACCTAATATGAGATGAATAAGGGTGTGGATGCTGGTGTGTAGATATAATTGTAAAGAAGAAAGTCATATCTACCCCTACACCTCAATATAAATTCCGCAGTCATAGTAAAAATAGAAGATAGAATATGCTACTGTTTCAACATTGTACATAGCATGATACAGGGATAGGTGTAGAGTGGATGTTGATCAGTTATGTATGTGAGATGCCACTTTCGTCTACACCCACACCCACATCTATCTCCATACATCAAATTCACATCTACATGCAAACTCCACGTTTGCATCGGCACTGACGCCGGCCATACGCGACTGATTACGGCCCATTTATGAGCAATATAAAAAAAGCATTTGAGATAAAGGGAAAGAGAAAAAACATGCAAACATCATAAAAAGAAATTGAAAAGATACTGTATGAAACTATGTCTGAATAGTTTTTTTTCTTCTTCTTTCATTTGTTTTCTTGTGATACTAGAGACGACAACAGATAAGAAAAAAAAGGAGTGAAGAACCAAAGTGAAGCCAAATAAAACAACTCGAATGATAAAACAATCGGCAATAAAAAGAAATATCTAGGAAAAATTCCAACATACTCTATAGGCTCAAGTCAATTTATTTGTTTTTTTTTATTGATAAAGCAACACGGACATTATGAACAAAGAGAAAAAGCCGACGATAACATCAACAAATGCTTCCCCGTCATCTAAGCATGCAAGTAAAAGGCCACTACATTCTCCTTGTACTTGCGTAATTCAGAACTTCCTATTGGTGTGGTTCAATGCCAATCATGATAATGTAGATAACAAAGAATGTATCAATAACGTCAAAAAATTAAAAGTCTTCAAGAAGCTACATACATTCACTGATGTGAATGAATGCATCGATTTTGTAACTGATATTCAAGATCGGCAAATATTTATGATCCTTTCTGGTGCCTTTGAGAAGTCAACTTTTACCATTGTCCATGACATTCCACAAATCAGTACTATTTGTATTTTGAATGAGAACCAAGCATAAAATAAGGATTGGACGAAACGATGGCAAAAATCAAAGGTGCGTTTCTAGATATTGCCTCAATCTGTAAGCCACTTCAACAAGCTGCATACAAATCCGATCAAAATTCGATTGATATTAGTTTTGTCCCTAGTATTGATGGGAGCTTTAAAAAAAGTCTGGATCAATTAGACCAATCATTTATGTACACAAAAATACTAAAAGAAGTCTTGTTAACCATTGATTTTCAAAATGAACATTTTGATAAATTTCTTTCATATTGTCGTCAACTTTTCGAAGATGGTGCTTACGAACTGAAAACCATCCATGAATTTCAACGGGAATACCACAAACATGATCCGATTTGATGGTATACCTGCCAATATTTTCTTTATTCAATGCTCAATCGATCATTACGCATGATGGAAGTTGATCTTATTATTATGATGGGATTTTTTGTTCGAGATCCTCACGAAAACATCGTCAAGCTTCATGCTCAACAGTTTACTAGCCATTCGAATATGAATTTCATTACAGTTTATCGTGATCAAGGACTGTCTCAGAAAAACTTTGATCAAATGGTAAAAACCAAAGGTGGACTATTATCATTTAATAACTTTTTTTCGACAAGCCTTGATCGAGAAGTATCTCTTGCGTTTGCTGAGAGGAATAGAAGTGATCCAGATCTGATAAGTATTCTTTTTGAAATAACTATCAGTCCATCAACATCGACTATTGCTTTTTCACAAGTCTATGACGTCAGTTATTTCAAAGGAGAAGAGAAAATTCTCTTCTCCATGCATTCCATCTTTCGCATAGAAGCAATCAAACAAATCAATGAAAATAATCGTTTTTGGCAAGTCAAGTTAACACTAACGAATGAAAATGATCCAGAACTGCATGCGCTTACTCAATAGATACGCAAAGAGATCGATCATCCGTTAGGATGGGGTTCTTTGGGTATGTTGCTAGTTAAACTAGGACAGTTCACGAAAGTTCAAGAATTGTATCATATTTTGCTTGATCAAACAACGATGGATTTGGAAAAAGCAAATATCTATCATCAGCTCGGATGGATCAAGGAGAGTCAAGGTGAATATGCAGATGCCCTTATATATTACCAAAAATGCATTGAAATCAAAGAAACAATTTTATCAACAAAGGATCTCGATTTTTCTAATTCTTACGTCGGCATCGGTTTGGTCTATCAAAAAATGCATGACTATTCGAATGCACTTTAATATTATCAAAAATCACTGGATATTGAGTAAAACACTCTTCCTCAAAAGCATCCTGATTTGGCAACTACATACAACAACATTGGTTTAGTATATTCCGAAATGGGTGACTACCTGAATGCATTTTCAACTCTTGAAAAAGCACTGAATATCCGCCAAGAGACTCTTTCTCAGCATCATCCTGATTTGGCTCAATCTTACAACAACATTGGTTCAGTGTATTATAACATAAGTAACTATCCGAATGCGCTTTCCTCATATCAAAAAGCACTGGACATCCGCCAAAAAGCTCTCCCACCGAATCATCCTGACTTTGCTCAATCTTACAATAGCATTGGTATAGTGCATGGTAAGACAGGAGAGTTTTTGAAAGCTTTTCGATTTCATGAACGTGCTGTTGAAATCGGACAATGCTCATTACTTCCAGATCACCCACATCTTAAATGTTATAGACATAGCCTTGAATGTGCAAAAAAAGAAAATGTAAATAATTTTTATTTTATTCCCAGAAATAAATAGAATGAAAAGCAAATCGTATTTTTTCATTTCTTTTTATTTGACGGAATAAACGTGCCGATAAAAAGGCACTCTATTTTATTGAAAACACATGACTAATGTTGAATAATAAGTTAAGCAAAACATGTCCAAGTGATAGACATGTATTGTAAATATGCATTTACGTTGTAGTTAGTGTTTCAATAAGGAGAGTTTTTCTACATCAAATGTCGCAACATCGAAGATCCCAGTGAAACATTTTGATTGAGTAACATGGCAAAGAACACGATTCATAATGGCAAAAGTTTCTTTCTTAATAAATAAAAAACGTGACAAGAAAACTGGAATGTGTTCCAAAAAGTAACGACCAGGACCGCTTTCTTTTCCTTTAAAAAGAGCTTTTCTCTTCACGACAATTCTTTTCAATCATTTCTATTTAAAATGATGAATAATAGGTTCTGTTTTCCTACGAAAGG